ATGAAAGGTGCTATATAAAATGCAAGGAATTACTATTATTTATTCTGACAGGTGATGGTCTGTTGTAAATCGGAGCTTTTTTTTATTACTTCAGTCTATCGGTGCTTTGAAAATCTTTTTCTTTCAAAATACAAAATGCCTTTGCTATTAGAAACCAATCCTCACAAATGTCAGCAGCACAAAAGTTGGGGGATAATAAATTTGCTTTGTCGTGTGAATACTGAGAACTTTAATCCTAAGCACTACATTACACATAAAATATCCTTTGGGCTCTTAGCAGACAGCAGCCAACACCCACAACTCTCAATTTTTGTAACGTTGTGAATTATATTCTTTAGCCTAGAGAGGGTGACTGACTCACAGAATTAGATAAACCCATTCCCTACAGAGAAAACTTTCCTGAAAATCATGCATATGTTAACCATGTTATGAGAACTGCTGCAGAACTCATTACCACATTAACTGCGTGATACCAACTATTGTGGCAGCTACTTCATAATTGATGCATGACTCGGGAGTCAGGGGGAGAATCTAAGCTTACTGCACTCCTCAGACTGAAAACAATTTAATTACTGATTTTATGATATCCTGTGCAATTCAAACCAGTTTTTGCAAAGTTAAAAAAAAGCATAATTTTTTGAAATGAGCTAAACGTTGGTCAAACTTTAATTAACTAGAATAAACGCAACACTGCAACGTTCTTACTTGATTACCTTTCACAGATCTCCTTGATCAGAATCAAGAGCTAAGAGTTGGGAGGCAACATCAGTTTATAGTTTGATGCATTTAGAAAGCGATCTTAACAATTTTAAGCGTCCAGCACTGAACAAAATGAACACAGTGCTTAAAATGTACTTCAACGCAAAAGAGAAAATGCTAACATAAACGATGATAATTTTACAATACGTTTGAAGGTACTGTAACTTTGAAAACTATCCTTCTTTGCTTCTTAGGGGAACAAACATGAGGGGAAAACTAATGTTGCTCCACAATAAGGATGCCTGTGGTGGTTTGGTTGGGGGTGGCCAATTTTGTCCCACAACCACATCTCCGTTCCACCCAGCAGGACTCCCCAGCCTTAACGCACACCTCAGCCTCGCTGAAGCAGGTGGATTGGCATATTAGAACCTGAAGCTGCAGGCATCTGGTCAGAAAGGTAAAAGCTCCTTTGCTGTGGCTGTTGATGGTTTCAAATTAAAACTGCAATCTCCTTGACAGAACGTAAATATTACTAGAAAAAGTATTCTTTGAAGCAGAATTTACTTGAACAAATATTTGAGGATTAACTCAATGACTTTTTTCTTTTAGATTTCAGGTAGGTTCTTCATTCCCTTCAAATATTGCTGCAAAAACATCCGAGTCTGGGGAACTGGAGTGCAATATGCTCTACTTACTACCAGCCATTCACTTCTTGGCTGTTTGTGGGACCTTGCTCCGTGTTTAAACTGATTGTCACGTTTGCCTACAAATGCAGACATCTGCAAAACTTTGAGATGTTGTGATGCTCATAGGCTCTATTACCAAATGCAAGTTATTGCAATGACCAACCTGTTGAGGACTTAATAAGAAATCCCATTACAAGTGCAAAATGAAGTTTGTTAGCATTAGCTTACCTAGAAAAGGATCCACACATACACCTAAAAGCCACACCTATTACTCCCCCCCCCCCCCCCCCACACACACACACAAACAAACACACACACATACAGCGTGCAACAGCTATTGGCTAGCATTAGTGTCAATACAGTGCTGGTCATGTAAAGCAATTCGCTAGACCCATTACAACTGTACCAACAATTCTGGTCCCTTATTCGCGTAGTCTGTGACAATCATCTCAAGTGCTGTAAGTTGATTGAAAGCTTAAAGTTGCAGTAGGACAATGTCCTTGTTGTCTATGTCTGTGCTGATGATAAGGAAGAGTATAGTAAAGGACTGAAGCCTATTTTGATGGTTCCACTGGCCTTCATAATGTAGATTTAATTAGCCAACCTCTTATATCTCTTCCGTATGAAGAGAAAACGTCCGTGAAAAAAGGGTTTTCTCAAATGTGGAAATGTACAGAAATAAGTGAAAACCATTTAAGATGTGTATATGTGCAATGTGCATATTTGCAAAAAAATTAGTCACTCAATCCATGACTGTTTGTGGAACACTAACAGTCTGTGCACAAATGGCTGCTGGTTTCGTCCACAAAATACAGTCAATCCAATATATAATATATTCTGTGAAGCGCTTTGAGAAGTCTCAACGATGTGATAATCGTTATAACAAATGCAAGGATTATTATTATGTTTATATTTCCTTTATTTTTTATATTATTAAATATTTTAGGAAAAAGCAGTACTGCAGCCACTGGTTAAACTGCACACTGAGGCCAACAAAATGTTTTTGTGAACCAAAGATCCTTTAGTCTATCAAAAAACCTGATGTCCTCCTCTTTTTATTTGATGTGTTATAGCCAGTTATTTTGTGCTTAATGAAATAGACTTTTATTAATAATTACTACTTTACTGCAACAATCTGAAAACCCAATTAGGGCTGAATCAATTCTTTCTTGTTCCTTCCAGCTGCCATCATATGAAACCTCTCTTGTTCAGCAGGAAAAGAAATACAGACATCTAAAACTTGGATCTTAAATCACTGCAAGAGTCTGGCAATGCAGGTCAGTGTTTTCTCGTGAAATAAATAAGAAATTGGAAGCGATAGCAGGGTGGAACTTATTTTTTGAAAATACCATTTTAGTTATTTCTGCAGGTATAGTTTATTTCTGTGGTAGTACTGCTGTTTTTTTAAAACTCTCCCCCTTCTCCCCCAAGGGGGGGGGGGTGGGGTGTTTGCATGTCCTTTCGCTCCGCTACAACCTGCAAAGGGTACTCAAGCCTCAAACAGTTAAGCACTTCACTAAACAAGACTGAAAAGACAAGGGCGAGCCTGGTGTGTGTGATTTCAGAACAATGGGCTGCCTGCCTGCCTGCCTGCAGCTGTTGCAAACCAAGAATAGTATCAGAGTGCTGACTTCACAAAAATGGTGACAGCAAGCCATCAGACAAATCCATCCAATCGCCTGCACATCTTCAGCAACACTTATTTGCTCATTCCCACCAGTGGTGCTATGGACTTTTGTTTAGTTTTGCTGTTGCAAGCTTTGTTTTGATCTTTGTTTCACCCACAAAATACACAGTCAATTCACTTTATAGTATATTCTGTGAAGCGCTTTGAGACGTGTCATTGACTCGATAAGGCGCTATAGCAAATGCAAGGATTATTATTATTACATTTTCAACTTCCCCTGTGCGATAACATCACAAGTGTGATCGACAGAGAGAAGAGTCCCGCTGATCAAATTAAGCCTTTTCACCAGCAGGCGGATACGTGAAAAAGCACGTTTTAATCCTGCATTCGCTCTACAACTTTGGCAGCGATTCGTTGCCAAACGGGGGCCAGGAAACGTGAACTGCACGAGAAGTGAACTCGCGATCACAACTGGGGCAGATGATTTCAAAGGTGGTCCAATTGACACAGACGCAGTATAAATTGCATCTTACATTTGGAGATCTCAGGAATTTATTTCAGCATCTGTTTTTCTGATGTTATCTGCTCTATTAATATATATAAACAAAATTATTTTAATGCTCCGTGCGAAATGCCAAAGTGCACATGCACAGAACACAAAGTTTTTTTTTCCGGGCCATAATTCAAACCATGTATAAAATAGCTTTCCCACTCCACGTCCTTGTACTGACAGGAATCACATGCTTGTACACAATTCAGCAAAAGCGAAAATCCAATAGCGTTGAAGATAAATTACAGCGACAACAAATTAACCCAAACTGTGGAGTATTTACATGAACAGGTCAAATAGAAATTAGCTGATATCATCTGATAAAACCTAATGCTGGATAAAGCCATTACCATAAGTGGAAAAGGGCTAAATTAATAATAAAGTAATTTGCAAAGTCAATGGAAATCTGTGAAAATGTGGATTAAAATCGGATTGGTTCCACAGAAATCAGCGGGCCAAAGTGCTCACGTATGTATTTCACCCATTTTCTCCAAATTAGAAAAGCACAAGCTGTAGATTACGTTCACCTGCAATTATTTTGCAGACTTGTGAGCTGCACATCTACATGAAACATCATCATTTGAATCATGGTCTATGGTGTATGGGATTACCTGGTGTATGGAAAGCCCTCCCAGGATTAGGGAGGTTACAATCAGCCAGGTTTACTGTTTCTGGTCCCTCTCCAGCACCCTCTGCTGCTTGCGCGGATGTGTGGCAGCCGGGTGGCAAAACCAGGCTGTGATACCCTTTACAGTCGAGTGTTTTGCCAACACTTAAATAATAATCGTTGACTTTGATGTAGCACCTTATCACATCGTCGAGACGTCCCAAAGCACTTCACAAGATTTTTGGTTTACTGTGGAGTATAGTGACTGGGTATTTGTAGGCTATTGCAGCAGTGAAGTTCCGCAATGTCCCACAAGTAGCTACGAAGTGAAACACCAATTTTATTTGGCGGATTATTGGTCAGGACATTGGGAGAAACTCACTTCGTGTAGAATGTTTAACTTAATCAAATTCTTTGGCAATTTAGCAGAGTTGTTATTAATCTTACATATATTCCAATGTCTAGCCAAGCAAAGCACTTTATGGTTGATGTGCACTTATAATGACTGAACTTCAAGCAAAGCTATCTACCTAACACTTTGGTTAAACCTTTAACTTTCATGACCACCAGATAATTGGATTATAAAGTTCTTTAAATTACTTTGAAGTTTGGAAATGTGGATAAAAGTTTGCTTCACAACTGGGTGACTACAGATCCTTATCTGATTTACAAGACAATCATGAACAACGGGAAAACACGCAGCACAAAAACAGAACTGTACAGGTAAAATGCAACAGATATGTACTAATCTTACATATTAATTGCACAGGGCTACCGTTTTGGACCTTTATCTTTCAGCAATGTTCAAAATATCAAATCACATGCAATTACCTGTCCAACGATGTCAGAAGCTATTGAAAATGTAGGCCACATTACTGAGTAGATTCCAAAAAACAGCAACCATATTAAGATGCTGCCCCAGATAGCCACGTGACTGAACTGACGGAGAAAAAAAAATCAAGAATTAGTTTGGGAATAGATTTTTCCAATCATATATACTCTCCTGAACCCCCACCCCTCCCAATCCTCTTTCCTTTATCTCCCATGTGTAGATTCCTTTTCCCCCATGTGTCTATTGCCTTTCCCCCCATGTATCTATTGCCTTCTTCCCATGTATCTATTCACTTACACACTGCCCCACCACCACCACTCATGTATGCATCCACTTTCAACTCATAAATGCTAGATCATATTGGTGCAACATAATTCTTAAGACATACAATAGAATCAGTTACTTTTTGTTTTGGATGGAGAAGCAAACCTGGAATCTTCCAACTGCCTGAGAATAGGCAGAAAGCACAGGGAAAACATTGTATATGGTTGTTTTAAGACAAACCCTCTTGTATAACTGTGGTTCCAGGAGCCACCTGGAAAGCAAGGGTGTTAAGGAATACAGACGAAAAGTGGAAAATAGGCTTAAAAGATTATCCATGATTTAATATCATGGTAGGTCAGGTTCGATGTTTCATTGATGTCTTGGTATGACCTTTGGTGACTCAGAGATCAATATAAAGGTGGAAGGCTCACAATACACATACAGATAATTAGGAGAGAACATCCGACTGGAAAACCTGCTGAGCAGGTTCTGAACAAAACAGGTGGTGCCTCTCATTTGTCAGTGAGGTGGTAGTGTCAAAACATGGATAAATCGAACTTCTGACATATACACAGTGGAAGGTGAAATCTTCTGAGAAGTAATCTTTTCCACCAGGAATTCTGTGTACGTGGTCCATATCCACCTGATAAGCACACGTAAATTTCTTAAGCGGACATCAGTACATAACTATGGGGAGGGGCGGGGGGTGGGTGGGGTTGAGCAGGGAGGTTGAAGATGGAATTGAAATCTCTCTGCTGTTCAATTTGCTTGGAGGAGATACACTGGCCAACTTAGAAAAATTAGACTTGAAAGACTTTGTTGATAGTTGACTAACGAATGTGGCTCAACAATGAAACTTGGAGTTGTAGATATCTCCTCCACCATGGAAGCCAAAGACCTAACAAGGTGCTCTAGCTGACAAGTACCATGAAATGTACCAGTACTGGCAACTTGCAAGTTACCATTTTATCCATTGGAAAGCTGGGAACTCTCAATAACATTGGAGATGTATGAAAGCTATTCACACGTGCTGGGTGCTCGGTTGAAATGAATTCTTGAACCCCCTTCGCTTCCTCAGCTGAGCTAAGCTAACTCAGCACAAAATTGGAATTGAATCTACCAAATAAGTCACTGGGGAAGCTTTTAATTTGTCTTGAAACAAAGTCATTAGTTATTATCAGGTTTCAGAATGTCAATGTTGGAGACCGGACGGAATACATTCTCCATATTTGGCACCCAGCATCAATGTTTAGGCCAGATGCAGAGTAGGATTCTTGTCCCAAACACTGTGCTTTAACCTTGAACTTTGAGGGACGTCCTCCACTCCACCAGCATCATTTCTTGCACCATCCCACCTTGTGGCTGGCAGCCCCATGGCCTGCTCTCAGACTTGCTAATGCCCCCTGTAATAGCCATGTACTACTCAGATAGCGCTTTCTCTTCTGACCTTCCCTCCCTGCTGCATGGAGCTGCCACAGTCTCCATCCATGCTGAGGAAACTGTTAAACTTTCCTTAACATGAAAAATGATGAATTAGGGCATTTAGACCAAGAAACATAAGCAGTCTTCAAGGGTAGAGTATTCATGTGAGTTGCATGAAGCCAGAAAGTTTTAGCTGGTTTAGCTGGGAAAAACAACTAAAAGGAATAGCCCAAGGGTGGCTATATACACTGCAGGAAGGCAAAAGTTCATGTGACATGCATACAGCTCCAACATCTTAAAGGGACAGCATCCCTAAGGTTTCCTCCACACAACTCCATTGACAAGCAAGAACTATTCAGTAATATGTGAGCAATAGAAAATGACAAAGGACAACCTTTCTGAAGCAGGTCGAGGAAGCTGTTGTGATTGAGTGGAATTACTCTTGACTTTTTATGGTGGTAATTTAGAATATATTCAACCAAACATTTAGTTAATGGGAAAAGAAAGTCTAAAGGGAGTATGTTCGATTCAGAGTACTCCCCCCTGCCGGCTATCCAGCTGTACTAGAAAATAATAGAGGTATTAATATATTTATTACTGCTGGCAAAATATCATTGAGTTTCAAAGACTGTGGGCCACAACAATTGTGGGTCTCCTCTCCATTTAGGCTGCTCGGATCACATCACTGACAGAGCAATCCCGAGCAACTTATTGACTTCCATGGGGTACATATTTCAGACTGCCTTGGGGAGTGTTTCCCATTCACCTGGGAGGTGATGTATTAACCCTGGAAAAAGCATGATCTCGACAAGGAAGCAGGATCAGCTGAGGTGTGGAAGCCTGATACGACCAATCATTACACTTACCAAATCTGGAGGATACCTACTTTGTCAGGAGTAATATTTACAATATTCATACAGTATTACTTAAATAGTTGGGGGTACGGAAAAGAGGTGGCGTACTTTGAATATGCTGAGATCAAGCACACGCCCGATAGACTGCATTGCTGAACATTTCCATTAACATTATCCCCAACTCTATGAAGCTTGCCATTCCAGTTCTCATCTCTCTGCACTTACTTTCTTTCATCTACTATCCAACCAAGCCCACAGCAAAAGTATCTTATCTTTTTCTTAGACACCATTCAGGCAGGAAGCTTGTATATTGACCTCAATATTTCCAAAACAATCTCCCAGCACAGCACTTAGGTTTGCTTCCCCCCACTCGGCCACTTCATTTTAAACTCAGTTGGCCTACAATTTCATAAGTTCCAAAACACGTTTCCTGAATAAAATAATACCAATCCTTGCATTTGAACAGAGCATTTAATGTCAGTAAGAGTCCCAAAGCACTACACGGGATATACTGTGAAGTTTATTGAGTGTGTATTTGGTAGGGAAACACAGCAGCCAATTTATGCACAGCAAAATCTCACAAACAGCCCTGCAGTGAGAACCAATTTTATTTGGGGGATTGTTGGCCAGCACACTGGGAGAAACTCCCTTCATTTTTCAAATAGCGCAATGGGATCTTTAACATCCACCTGAACAAGCAGACAGGCCTTCATTTACCATCTCATCTAAAGGATGAGATTTACGAGATAAATCTTCTGTTCACAGCATTTCACTATCTCTTGATGACCCAGGCAGCTGTTTCTTGATGTAATCATTTTACACCTTTCTAAAGATGTTTTGGTGCCTTTCTCTTCTTTATTCTATTCAGGGCTCCTCCAGGTCCATCATTTTAGTTCTATTGAAGGGTTATACCCAAAACTTTTACTTCTCTGTTTTAGATACTAACTGATTCTCTGTATATTTTCAGCCTTCTGTTTTTATTTCAAGCCAGTTTGTGTACTAAGACTGATCTACAATTCTGGAGTGTAGTGCAATACTTTTTGCTGAAAGCACTATAAGTAAAACAACAGTTATTCTATGCAGCAAGCTGCTCTCACGTAACCTCAGTGGTTCAATGGGAGGGCAAGTTATGTAAAATAAATTATAATCCATGCTAGGGCAATAGGGAGGAATATGGGATTTCCATGCTTCTTTCATAAAAGTGACATGAAAGGGCATCTTCCGATTGAATGACCACCATTAGTCATATAAAATAGCAATAGGCTTAAGTTCTTCAGAGAGTAAACACTGTAAGTACCCAAGAATTAATGAAATCTAACAGGTGGAGAAGTTCAAAAAGAAAAATCTGCACATGCTGGAAATTTGAAACAAAAGCTAAACACTGGAAATCCGCAGCAGGTCAGTCAGAGTCTGACAGAGAAAGATAGGTTACTTTGATGGATACACTGTAAATTTACAGAATTTCAGGGTCAGTTTCTGGTGGAAATGTTCAAAGTTATATTAAATTGTTATTTTTTAAAGTTGCTGTTATACCTTGATAAATGCCTAACCAGATTCAACAATGGTATATTGATTAATAGAAATTGCATTTTAGGAGCAGGCCATCTGGTTCGTCTACCCTAAACAGTGCTAGTTCATTCAACAAGTTGCATTTATATAGCACTCTTCACGTGGGGCAGCATCTCTGAGTGCTTGGATTCACTGTAGAGAATCATTCTAATCCCAATTCTTTGCTCTCTCTTTTATATTCTTCCTGCTGAAATATCTATCCAATTCCCTTTAAATATTGTTATGGCCTCTGCCTCAATAGCTATTGAGCCTCAAAAACACTGCATATTCCGATCACCCTCTGTGTGAACCAGTTTTCTCCTCAAAACTCTTCCAGTGACATTCCTGAGCTCCCCATTACCTTTTTAAAAATAATCTGTCACTATCTATCATTTCAAAACATTTCAGAATTTGCAAATCTTCTACCAGCTTCTTAATTACCCCATTCTGCTCCACTGGAACACTCAATTTGTGAGCCTTTTCTCGCAACTACAGCCCTTCCACCCTGCTATCATCCAAGTGAACCTAAGTTCTGATATCCGATCTGGAAATGAAGCGCTCAAAACTATGTAGTATCCTGCTATGATCTAACCAATACGTGGTTTAAACATAACATAATTTCCTTACTTTTATATTGAGTGCTTCAAACATGTAAAACCTAGAATTCCATATCCTTTTTAAAGGCCCCTATTACCTGCAGTCCCACCTTTAAAGATATATGTATTTGCCCTTTTATATCTATATTATTGAGAACTATACCACTTAGGGTATACTTCCTTTCTTTCATCTTTCTCCCAAAATATGCTACTTAACATTTTTCAGCAAAAAACTGCATCTGCCATTTAACAAACCACTCTGTCACACAGTCAAATCTTCTTGTAATTTCCTGCATTCTTCTTCCAAGATTGCTATATCCCTGATTTGGTATCATCAGCAAATTTTGAAAGTGATACCCCTGCATGTTAACCTGAAAACCATTAATATAAATGGAAAACAATAGAGGTCTCAGGTCAGATCTCTGGGGCATGTCACTATCACATCCAGTTAATTTGAGAAATATGCTCTTACCTCTAGTATATCCTGCTTTCTATCTTTCACTGCCATCAATATACCTTCAGTGCCACGTGTCTTCATTTTTTCAACCCCAATAGTCTATTACGTGTCACGAATCATACATTACGGATGGAAATAATTTGAATACTTGGAAGTTCCCTTTTAAAAACATGTCATCGAGTTGAAGAAGTCTCATATTGACTTATTCAGCAGTGACAGAATGAGTGTCTTTACTGAACTGTTGAATGAAGCCTCTACAGCTGTATATATATGAACAGAGAAAGATGCTTGTGATTTCCATATGTAGTTCTTGCAATTAATACAGCTCTTTGGGCGAAAATCATAGGGAAGATTCTGAGAATGAAAATAAGTGGTAAGAAAGAATGTCATAAACCACAGCAGAATGATTTAGTTGGACCACCTAGGACTACAGAATCATAGTTATAAATATATGGTTCTGTAGTCCTAGACTGAAATCCCTGACTGAAATCGATGGAGACGTCTGCTAATACATGCTGTTAACAGATGTATTTCGGGTTACTTCCATTGAAGAGCAAGTTGTCCAGTTTATCCACATGAATGCATAATGGCAAGGACAATCTGGAGTCATACTCAAGACAAGTACTGCTACATTGTCCCCACTAGATGTTAAGGTGATAGGATTATAAGATGCTCTTGCGATTTGATATTCTGGAGGGCATGTATGCAAGAGCTCCAAGGATATGGATTTCCCTGGTTTGTTGAATTTTACTGTACTGTATTTCTGGAAATGTTGTATCACATTGTAAGGGAACCGTAATGCAAGCCATTTAGCTCAAACTTTGTCCAATTGCCATTGGAAATTCTTAACCCCATTTCACCTCTAAGGAATGTAGCCATTACTAGGGAACGAGAAAAAGGAGTCATTTACAATTTTATTCTACACAGGTCTCTATCCAACCAGCCGATGCCCTCACTTCAACCAGGGTTAATGCTATTGACAGTGCTCAGAATAGTACCCTTAGCCTGACCCGTCTCTGTCTCAATTATACCTGTCCTCAGTCCAAACACGGGATCAGTGTTTATACAATCCAAAATTACATTTGTATAGCGCCTTTCATGTCGGGAGGACGTGCCAAGGTGCTGGGAGTTTATAGGAGTGTTATACAACAGAAAGACTCCTTGGTCTGTTCAACACAATGGAATTAATTGGTCCTCTTTAAGAGATGCTCCTCTACAAGACGAGCATTTTCTTGCTAGCTCTGGACATAACACTTATACAGTAGTCTCCCAAGTAGCTGGGGGGGGGGTCCATTAAATTCTGATCGGCGCGATAATGCAGCCCAATCGGCAGTCAGAGCCTTGGCACTCACTGCACTTGTGCATAGAAAGATGGCTGGCTCCATTGGCATGTCAAAACGTCCTTGAGGTGATGATATCTGTGAAACCTGTTGACCCAGAAGTGGACCTGATTTAGATCATGGGAGGCCACAATGACTGACCTCCAGGTACTGTCAAGTCATTTATGTCACCCACAGCACGCAGAAAGTAAAGTGCCGATGGAGCCGGTCAGATTTCTGTATGCAGGTGCAGTGAGTACAGAAGCACTGGCTGCCAATTGCATCCCTCTGAAGCTAGTTGGGATTTTATAGCACCCCCTCCCCTCACGACCACATTTTTAGGAATTTTTGGGGTTAGGTAAATGTTGAGATCCATTCCCCAGTATACGAAATCCAGCATAAGTGAATTATAACAGGTTTCTAATGTACTGTTCTACTGTACCGTACTGTACTCGCCCACAAATATACAGTCCATTCACTTTACAGTGTGTTCTGTGAAGCGCTTTGGGACGTCCTCCCGACATGAAAAGCGCTATATCAAATGCAAGGATTATTATTATTTTATTATTACTTGAAACAAGGGTTAAAAGTCGTTCTATGTTGATAACCAATGACACCATCTGCATTTGTCAGGAAAGCAGAGCAGCATAATGTGCAATTCCTTCTTCAGACATACGTTTATTACAGTTGATCAAACAATGCTGCTGATACGTGTCTCCTGTTATTTGAGCTGACATAATGGAATACATGTATGACAAAAGAATGGGACCCAGTATCACCTAACTTACTGCCTTCTCATACAAATCAATAGATTACCTCACTCATTCAAGACAATGGAGATGAGGTCAGCCAACCTGTCATTTTGCTGACTATCAGCAAAAACGAACAGCAACAAGTCTGCTTCAAGTTCAGATATCATACAATGAACTTTCCACACAGTCCCTTCCACCTGGTTCGCATAAAGTGAACAATTCCCATTGAGAATGAAGAAAAGAATTTAAGAGAATAACCTCAGGGTGGGGTTATACATCATGGGAAAGGGTAGGAGTAACATGAAATCTATGATAACATCAGTGATTTTAATGGGATAGTGCTCTTTGTGAATTTCCCACACCGACAACTTTGGAGCCATTGTGTGGGGATAATAGATAGAGAACGGAATTTCTGTTCTTCCATAAGCCACTATCCTTAAAACAAATAAGGATCTAATAAGTGGGGCATTCAACTGATTCATGGATATAAGAGTGCAGAAGAACAAAGTATCCCGTTGATTTTATCTAGGCTGTCCCTTTCACCATAACAACTTAATTGATGGAATCAAAGAGCCACCTCATGCTCTCATTACTATGCCTTTTTTCTATTTTGGACACCCTACTAACGGGAGGCTTACAATCACTGATAACGGGTTTTAGATCACTGTTATCCCTTACTTACTACATCCCCTTACAGAATTGGCTATAGCACACTGAATTGATGGCAAGGTGGCAAAATAGAGGGAAGAAAGGTTGCAGGACAGTGATGGGAATTATGAGGTATTTTTTTGACAGAGGATAGTAATTACTGGCATGTCTCAAGGATCAATTTTAGGATCTCTCTTGTTCCCTGTGTATACCAATAATTTAGATGTAGGAGGGAATAATATCAAAATACTTTATGCTGGTGAAACTAAATTAGGAGAAATTAACAGGGATTAAAATGGGAAGATACAGGCAGATATTGACAGTTTAGCATGTGAAATGGATTCGAGTAGAGGGGTTCCAGTGCTGGAGCTTGCATTAGCAGACATGCCGGGCTGAATGACCTCTTCCTGTGCTGACATGTCTGATTCTGGTAATAGAGCAATTGTCTTTAGCAGTGTACTTTATTGTCAAAATAAGGGTTGGTGACCTTACATTTCATTGTTATTGAGGTGCTTTATTGCCTAAGCTACACTTAGATTTCGCTTCTAACAGTAGAGAGATGTGGAATGGGAAGCCTGATTTATAATTTCCACTCCTCATTGCATCAGGGCCAGTTAAAAACTCATATGACCAGCTCTTTTATGTTTTAAAAAAATGACCCACTGGACCACCCAAGAACTTCCAAGGAACCACTGAAGTGGTATCAGTTTACAATGCTGAGTTTATGCAAACGTTTATGCAGCAGTACTGCAAATAAAACTGCTTCTGAAACCACCTCCTCCTCTGGCTTCAGGAGCAGTGCTCCAGTGTGATTTGTTCTGGCTCCACCATGGATGGCACGTTACCATCAATTCACTTTGAAACAAGCAGTATTGCATGCAACATAATCAATCAAGTTGTTTTTCCACAAATATAAAGAGTGGAGATTCTGCATCAAGTCCGGTATTAAGCTATATTTGAGCAAGCAAAGAAAGTATGACCAGATGACGTAAATGAGAATGAGTAAAAGCTAAATTTAGAAAAGAAATTAGGAAGAATGTATTTACTCAAAGAATAAATCTACCAAGCAAGGTAATGGGAGTCAAAACCATTAGTGATAATCAAATATAACGAGCTGCCCATGGGAGAGGTAATGATGCGAGGCTTGAGCTGCTATGTGCTGAATGGCCTTTTGTCATTGCTGACTTCTATTAGTTTAATATGTTAGCGTTCGCAGACTAATCTTACACTCCTGGCTATTTATACTATAGAACCAGAAATCAGACAGGAAAATAATATAGAGAAAGATGATGTAATGAACATTTGAAAAGTGCACTTTCAGGACTGGGTCAAGGATTATGATTACTTACAATAGTCCAGGATGAAGTCTCCAATCCAGCTTTTAAACATACTGTGACCACCACATACTGTGAAGAGAGTGGAAGATTTCAATGGTAAGTAATACTGCACCAAGATCGCAATTTAATATCTCACAGCCATAATAAATATTAAAGATTTGTGGGTTTCGTTTCACAAAAAAAATCAAAACACCTTCCTGATGTTATTCATAAACCAGAATTCATGGTTGCAAACAAAGATAGATTAAAACATTGTTTTTAATTAGCTGAACAACCTTTAAAACTTCCTACAAACAATACAACTAAAAGCATTGACTTTTCTAAGTACTGCAGTATTTTCCTCTCTAGATGTAATCCAGTATATCTCCTCTAAGCCTCCTGAGGCTTCTGCAGCACAGAATCTTGTGCAATTCTCACCTGTTCAGCGTATGCTCTCCAGAGTATTTCCCAACAGATACAACAAGGGAGAGCAATTTTTCATTGAATACATCAAAAGCTTTTTTGTTTGATTAAACAAGCCTGCGAAACATGCCAGAAAATATTAATCTGACTTTCTTGTCAGTTTGCAAGAGACTCTTGTTGTGCAAGAGATAAAATGCGATGTTTATAAATTTTAAAAACAAATGTTCAAAAGAATAAACAAATCAAGATTTTTAAAAAAAGTTGTTGAAATATCTAAAAAATGATGCACTCATCAAATTAATAAAGATTTCTAATAATGGAAGTAAATATACATTGTGTTAAATATTAAGCTTGGTCTAGCAAACTAAGATCACTTGCGTATTTCCTAGACTTTTCACCGGAATACCCAGAGACCCTCGTCTCAGATTGTACACCCGCCTATACTGCAGGCTTTCCGTTACTGGAATTACGTGACAACAAAAGTGATACTTGACCTGTCTTCTGTAGGGTCGCAGATTTATTCTTGGGAACCTATCAGGATGACTTGCATTTCTATGTTACTGGCAGCACATTGTGTAACTTTAGAACTCGAATGCTCACTGAGAGTCAGCATCACTCACGTTTGTGGGACAGAAACTCATCACGTCAGGTGGGAACCGCTTGGAGCACAGTTGGGTTAATTGCAAGATACATTGTGAAAGTTGGGGTGGTTCTGAGAACAACTGATCTTGTCTGGTCAGATGTGGTCATGCGGTCAGTTTACATTTCTGATCTTTAGATAACTCTCAGCATGGTCCTCATTTGTCAGTGTGGCACGTTTTTCTACTTGCCCCAAATGCTTGTATATCATGTTATTGACAACTACCAGATTCATGTTCTCTCTACCGCTTCCTCCAAGATCCCCCAGTGTTGTTTTTAAACCAGCCCTCTTTTCTTCTCAGGTTTCAGTGGTTCCACCTCTGTCTTGTAGTTTGAAACATTATCTTTTAGTGTTCAGGTGCTTTCAATTGGCACATAGCTGCATGACTGCTAGCACATAACTTTTTACTAGGATTCGCCCCTCATCGTTCAAAGGAAATAATAATAATCCATGCATTTGATATAGTGCCTTATCATGTCATTGAGACGTCTTAAAGAGCTTCAGAATACAGTGTAAAGTATACAGTCCAAGAGCGCAAACTCCACCTCACTGTGTCCTCTCCTGCATCATCCCTATCCTTGCCCGGCTCCACCTGGCTTCCCATCACAGTTCAAGATCCTGGTCCTCACCTTCAAAGCCCTCCATGGCCTTGTTCCCCCCTACCTCTGTGACCTCCTAACCTCCTACCAAGCTGCCTGCTCCCTCCGCTCAGCGGGCTCTGGCCTGCTTCACGTCCTCCGACTCACGGCGGGCCTTCAGCCACTCTGCCTCCACCCTCTGGAACTCCATCCCGCAGTCCATCCACCTCGCCCCCTCTATTACCTCCTTCAAGACCTGTCTCAAGTCTCTCCCCTTTGACCGTGCCTTTGATCACCCTCCTTCCCCCCTGCCCTCCACTCTCCCCAATCCCGACCCCCAGCGCGGGTCCGAAACACTGAGTGTCCAGCGCCTTGGGATGTCCTCCCGACATGAAAGGCACTGTACAAATGTAATGTTGTTGTTGTTACATCCACCAATGTCACATTTTGTGGGTAAAACATAACGAAAGGTTGAGAGATGCATGCACCAACATGCAGTACATGATAATATATATATAATAATAATCCTTGCATTTGTGTCGTGCTTTTTCACATCTTCGATACGTCTCAAAGCGCTTCACAGAATATACTGTAAAGTGAATTGACTATATTTGTGGGCGAAACGTGGCAGCCAATTGCGCACAGCAGTGTTCCACAAACAGTCGTAGATTGAAATGACCAATTAATTATTGTTTTTTTTTCTTGAGAGATTATTATCAGGCGTGTGGAGTAAAGAAACTATGATGATAAGTTATGCGGGGCATCCAGACACTATGAGCAGGAGGAAATTTAATTGGATTTCATTAGAAATACAAAATAGTTAAAATGTATATGGAGTCCTGTGGAATCCTGTAGCTCAGTGGTTAGAGCACTCGCTTTGCAAGTGAGAGACCTGAGTTCAATTCCAGGCAGAGGGCGAACCTTGGGCAAGTTTCCTTACTCCACACACCTAATAATAATCCCTCCAAAAAAACAAAAACAATAATTAAATTGGTCATTTTCAATCTACGACTGTTTGTGGGACATTGCTGTGCGCAATTGGCTGCCGCGTTCGCCCACAAATATACAGTCAATTCACTTTACAGTGTGTTCTGTGAAGCGCTTTGGGACGTCCCCCCGACGTGAAAAGCGCTATATCAAATGCAAGGATTATTATTATTATTTATTTCATCCTATACATCCTATGACTAACAGCAATAGAGTTCTGGCGACAGTGATTTTTCTCCAAAGTCAAGTCTTCAATAATTAAACATATGGGTCAGAAGAACCCAATATCACGTTTCCAATATAATCTATGTTGAAGTGGGATTTTGAGGCCAGGAAGTGGGCTGTTTGTACACCAGTCTTTGACCCTGGTGTCTGGCTCTATAACTGGTAGGAACTAGGGGTGAAGAATGCAGGTTAGTTTAGTAAGTATGCAGCCTGCACACTTCTGGATTTTGATCACTGCTGGAGATATGTAGATTGTAACATTGGATTTGGAATCCAATGATGAACAAGTGTTATCTTTAAGATTGTCATTTGGTAAAAATACTAATTCTGCGAACACAGATTTCAATGATTTGTCTTTCAATCAGTAAAGAACCAACACGATATTAATGATGCGAGTGCATATGAAACGCTTGTGAAAATATACCAAAAGGTATTTTGGTTTGGTCATATCCATCTGAATATTTTAAAAAACAGATTTAAATATATTTACAGCACAATAGTAAATTATAGCGGTCTCACTTAAGTTAAAACTTCATAAGGTTTGCTTTATTGTGGATAAATGTGATAGTTTAAGTGAAGAGTGATAACTAGAAAGAGATATCTTTCAATACATTCACATATAAAGGCAATATGAAAAATCTTGAATATCTGCTTCGGTCACCGGTTAATTTAATCTCCATTAATTTGCTCCCCTAATCAAGTGCTTTGATTCCTTTTTCAGGGTACAGTTTCACGAGTGCTGGAAGCTCTTCAGCACTCAGTCAAGCGGCCATTATTTAATGAGCAAGTGTTACAATTGTGTGTTTGTCTGATTTCAGCTCAGTCTCAACCGGGGCCAGCATTTTCAGCTGCACCCTGGACATCTCCTCTTAACCCCGTATGGTGTGTGGTTACTTCCCACTGGCGTAATTGACAAGCTCACATTGGCCTGGAACTGACCATCACAAACTGGATTTTGCCTTGTCTTTAGAAGGCAAAACTATCAACCTCACACATTCAAAATTTTTCAATTACGGCAGTTCGATTAGTAAATTACTAAACGTAAAATATTGTACAGTAAAACTCACATAAGTCATCTCTTTATAAATTGCATAATCTTCTAAATTGTACATGCACCAAAGTCCCAGTCAGCTTCCTCCCGAAAAACCCTTTGATTTCTTTGCACGAGTCGGATTTTATAAATTGGAAAAATGGTGAAATTGTAATGGTTTCTTGGTCCTAAATAATCCAAATCCTGTTTAAATCATTTCCTAACTCGTAACGTCGCTGCCACATTTACCGGCTGCCCTTGAAGTACCGCAAAACAAAAGAGCAAGTCTCAAAACCTCAGACTTATTTTTTAGCTGTGCAGCCAGTTCTTGGTGTGACTCACTCTCTGATGAGCATTTTCCTTACCAAATCTTTCAACTGATGTGAGAAACGTGGACATTTCAGGTGGAGCTATTTCAGGTGGAGCAGCTGAATTGGAACATGCTCTTTCCTCAGCTTCAAACAGTTATTACTGGGTCATTGCTCCATAAGAGGTCACATTCCTGTCCCTTGCCCTATATGGCTACTCTTGAGGTCAGGCAGCGAGTGCTTTGGCAGTGTGGGGGAAGATGGTAGGTGGGGAGAAGAAAGTGTTAGGCACCTGATTCTGACCACACCTAACATCCCCTTTGTATCCATAATGAACAATGAGCAACAGGAATTCTGTGTGATTTCCCTTTCTCTAATCCATGGGTGCTGTAGCATAGACGAGGGAACAAATCTCTGCATGTTTCCAAGCCTATATTTTGAATAGACAATTTAGGAAGGTGGTGGGGCCAGATTGTAGCTGCAAATTCAAGAGGGAATTTGGAAAATAATTTAATTGAGAGACATGATAAATAGAGTAATGGAAAATTTTGTTTTAAAAAAATATTTTTGTTAAAACCTTGGGACCGGACAGATGGACTGAAATAGTCTTTTCCGGTTCTGTAAATTCCTACAGCTCAACTTCACTTTCCCAACCGAGCCTCGAGACTTATTCTCTTTAAATATCACAATATTTTATAGGTCGTGAACTCACTTACCGTATAAACGGAATTTCCTAACAGCAGGTAGTCAGGTGTTTTTCCGTTTGCAAACACATTATCTGCAAGAAGCAAAGACATTAACGTGGGTTCAGGATCACCAAGTGATCAGTTGCTGAAAACTCCCAAGAAAAAAAATCACATCTGCTAGTCATATCATAGCACTACATTTTTCATAGTTAACATATGAGCTGATTTTTAAAGGGGCTCTGCTGTCCTGTAAATGTACTGTACCTCCAGGATTTTGCACTGAAGATATAATAGCTGTGGTAGAATTTTTCACAGCTCATTGGGTATAGGGTAGTTTCACAAGACTATAAATAATTAATACTCCTCCAGTACTTTAACAAAGGTCAGAAGTATTCTCCTGGGAAATAAGGTTCATCAGTTTGCTATCTGTGGGGAAGAAATATTGTGAATCCATTATAAAAGATGCAAATTGGAATACTTTAATGAGAATAAAAACAATAATTTAAAGTCAACGTAAATTTATGAAAGACTGGCCAAACGGATAAAACTTGCTTTGAATTCTTTAATTCTGTAAACAAACTGAAAGATGATTTTAATTGATGTATTTCATAGGATACATCTTGACTTTCAGATATGATCCTTCAGAAGAGACTTTGGGTTGAACTAAAAGGATTTTGGACCAAGAGAAAATTGAGTAGAGGATAATGAAGTGGTACACAAGATTTATGGTAAGATATGGCTCAGAATAGATTACCCCATCCACTGTCCTTACGATCTCTACTTGATGAAGGTCCTGAAAGCAGACCGAGTTTGCAGAGGGTGTAAAGTTAGGTGGGAAGGGAAAATGTTCAAAGCAAGAGAGATAAAATCCCATATCCCAACTGCAAGTCTCAAACAGATTACAAAATGAAGGGTGTTCATCAAATGGGTGGACTAGGGGAAACAATCTAGGTTCAATAGTTCACAAGATAGTAAGTGTTCTGAAGTATATGGCAGCAGTTCCTGGGACAGTTCAATGCTGGGATGAATAAGAAGATCCATACAAGATACTGACACTCCCGAACTGTGCTGTTATACTGGAACACAGCATTGAGAGGGAAGCACGTACTTATACTAACTGCTCACAGCTCTGTGGAGACAACTGCGGCAGATGTCTTCAATTTTGACCTTGACATTTATGGGGAACACAGAGAAACCGTTAGAAAATGTACAGGGGCTGTGGAGGGGGTGGGACGTGATGCATATTTTCCATAAAGGAAAGAGAAGCACAGTGTGAAGTTTCACTTCTAGTACTCTGAGCAAACAGGCCTGAGCGAAATGTTCATTTATTCACTTAAGTGAAATTAGTTATATTTCCTCGGGCAGCAGTTTTGATGAACTCTACCAATTTGTCTTATTTAATTTGAACATGATAAATAATAGGTAGAATGTGGCTGGGGAAGTGTGCACAGAGGCAGTGGTTTACTAGTAACTGGTGCCTGAACCTTCCTGACAATAATCAACTGAACAGAGACTTTATTAACAATGAAGTACCTAAATTCAAAGTTGAGGTAGGCTTCTTGTAAAATACGCACAACAATTCTACTCATTGTCACAATTTTCGTCTGTGGGACAACTGAAAAACACCCTGCTGTTATCTGAAGCTTAAAGAAGCAAACCAACTATTTTAAATAGGTCTTAACTTCACGTGCATTTCAGCTTCATAATAATGTTCAGTTCACTAATGCACAACTTGCTTATCATTAGATGGACATTCATCTGGGAGGAATCAGAGCACGCAATGAATTAACCATATGCATTTCATAAAGATCACCACAAAACAAACCCTCTTGGGATAAAGTTAAACCTATAATTTTGATTAGCCCTTTTTGTAAAAATCTCAAATTATTGCGTTCAAATAAATTTTAATTGTTTTTTAAAAAAAGGGTACGGTTGAAATTGATATTTTAGTTTTCCACATTTGCGTTTAAAAAGTAGGGAGGACAAAGTCACAAGAGCTAGACTGTCTGTACAAGGAAATAAAAGTAACCTGACAAGATCCTGCTAAATATTTCTGTTTGCCTGTGCTGCTTACCATTCTCGAAGACTTTCAGTGGGAACCAGAATAGAATGAACGAGTGGAAAAGGCCGTTCAAACAATAAACCCAGAAAACCTATAGGAAAAGAAAAATCCATGAGAACCATTTACGACAACCCACACTGTGAACTCTAACCCTTTTCTTTATTGCTGCTTCAAATTCACTAAGTGTGTTTTTGTCTCACCGCCACTGCGAGGTGTTTTTACTGACAACCACTTTTTAATCTTTTAAGTAGCTGGGTTTATTTTTGCAGTCTGGCTCACAGCAGCATCTTTTTATATGGTTGTTGTCTCTTCATTTTGCGTTTTTGACACTTGGCTACCTGAATTGTTCCCGACCAAGCAAGAATACTGTTAGGTCACAAACTTTAGTGACTTGTTTAATACGTAGCATCTCACTGCAAATTTAAGCATTGTATCTCTTGTTAGTTGTACACTTCCCAGGTCCATTAAATAAATACAATATTTAACCCACTGCATATTAAGCAACCACAGAAACAATGCTATTAAAATAGAACAATAACTGGAGCACAATGAATGTCAAAACGGGGGGAAAAAAATGTAAAACATATTGAAACATTTCACATCTCCACACGATGATGCATTGTAAATTTTTCAATGACTACTTTTTCTGCAATTTAACCTCCTTGGACAGACTATCTTTTGTCTGATATCCTTTAAGGATCAATTTACAAACTGTTAGCATTGAAAGAGCATGGGATCATCACTGGTGTTAACCATTATAAAGTGGTTACTGCAGGTGGCTAGCTGTTAGGCTGAGAATGACTTTTATTCCAATCTTTAATAATAATAATAATCCTTGCATTTGATATAGCGCTTTTCACGTCTTCTAGACGTCCCAAAGCATTTCACAAAATATACTGTAAAGTGAATTGACTGTATATTTGTGGGCGAAGGCGGCAGCCAATTGTGCACAACAATGTCCCACAAACAGTCGTGGATTGAAAATGACCAATTTTATTATTGTTTTTGGTTTTGGAGGGATTATTATTAGGTGTGTGGAGTAAGGAAACTTGCCCAAGGTTTCGCCCTGCCTGGAATTGAACTCAGGTCTCTCACTTGCAAAGCGAGTGCTCTAACCACTGAGCTACAGGACTCCAGACTGATGTGTTATTTCCCCGATACAATTACAAGTTTAAAGTTAGGTCACTCGCTTTCAATAGATGTCATTTACTCCAAATTAAATTAAAATAGGCATAAAGGGATTAATTTACCCAGTGTTAAAGTTCATGGGTGTTTGATATAAAATGATGTAGCCATTTTGGTCTATGATACTTCACCAAAAATAAAACATAAGAATAAAACCAGATCGAGTTTAGAAATGCAAACTCTTTTTTTGTCCATTGGCTCCCTATCCTCCAGAAGTTCGAGTTCAAGATCCTTGCCTTCACTTTTAAATTCTGCTACACCTGACCTCTGTGACCTTCTAAAAACATTGGGGGTCGGGACCTCAGTCTTTCTGCCTCCAGACTCTCTGGAACTCTATCCCTGAATCCCTTCCCCTTGCCCCATCCTTCGCCTCGTTCGCAATCCTTCTCAAGATCTTCCTCTTTGACCATGCCTTCGATCATCATCCCCCCTCCTGTCCCCAGCTCGCATATACCCCTCGACTGTTCAACACCTTGGGACATCCTCCTGACATGGAAGGCGCTATATATAAATGCAATCTACTGTCATTAAGTACTAGGCTCTATAATCTGTCTCTCTCTGATGTTCTTCTAAAAGTTTTCAAAGAACAAGAGAGAGAAAAAAAGAGAATATACTGCAGGTATACTGTAACAAACTGGGCAATGAAAATTGCAAAACATACCATAAATCCACTGTACAAAACCATAATACATATACTCAAGGCAAATTACTTTCTAAAGACAATCACCAGTTAGAAGTTTCGTAAGCAAGACAACTCAGTCCAATTTTAACAGCCTTATCAGTCCCTGCCCTGTTCAGAACACCAAATGTCCTTGAATTTGTCAGTGATAGGCCAATATTTCGATTGAATTACATTATCTCTAATGTATAACTCAGGTGTTAGCACTTAATTTAAATACACTAGATACTGTACTTTGCAGATCAAGATTTAATTCAGGTAGATAAAACATACGTGTGGATTGCCAAGAGAGGAATTTGCTATGACAATGAACGTATATGCATATAATCAATTGCACTAAATAGGTGGAAAACATGGCCGTTGTTATTCATTTTATTTCGTTATCAATGGATATTGAAAACAAAATTTGAATACTGAAATTGAAGCGCTCTGAGATGCCGTGAAGAATGCTATATAAATGGAAATTGTTGTTGTTCCTCTAGGGACAACCACTGTTGTACTAACCTATTTTATATTAAAGTCATTTTATTTGGCAACAAATAATAATAATAATAATCCTTGCATTTGATATAGCGCTTTTCACGTCGGGAGGACGTCCCAAAGCGCTTCACAGAACACACTGTAAAGTTAATTGACTGTATATTTGTGGGCGAACGCGGCAGCCAATTGCGCACAGCAATGTCCCACAAACAGTCGTAATTTGAAAATGACCAATTTATTATTGTTTTTGGTTTTGGAGGGATTATTATTAGGCTTTGTGTGGAGTAAGGAAACTTGCCCAAGGTTTCGCCCTCTGCCTGGAATTGAACTCAAGTCTCTCGCTTGCAAAGCGAGTGCTCTAACCACTGAGCTACAGGGCTCCCCAATACAGATTCTTATATAATCATATGATGTTATGGTTATTATCTTATGATTATACGATAATAATCAGAATCCTTGCATTTGATACAGCACCTTTTGAATCAGGAGGACATCTCAAAGTGTGGTGACTGCATTTTGCAGGCATATGTGGGATTCAATTTGTGCACAGAAATGTCCCACAATCAGTCATGACAATTGTGTTTCTGGGGAGAAGTGATATTTTGTACATAAGGTGAGGGAATCAGTCCTGGGAACTGGGATACCTTTCCATCTCTGGCATTTAGAGTGAGCATTGATCATTCATAAAAGCTCCATTCAGTAACAAATGCCTCAATACAACAACAACATTACATTTGTATGGTGCCTTTCACATCGGGAGGACGTCCCAAGGCACTGGACAGTGTACAGCATTTCAGACCTGAGCTGGGGTCAGGGGGACAGAAGGGAGGGGAGGGGGGGTGGCCGATGGTATGGTCGAAGAGGAGGGTCTTGAGGCAGGACTTGAAGGAGGCCAAGGAGGGGGTGAGGTGGAGTGATTGGGGGATGGAATTCCAGAGGTTGGGGGCAGAGTGGCTGAAGGCTCTCCCGCCAATGGTGGGGCGGGTGGGTCATGGGATGTGGAGCAGGCCAGAGCCGGCTGAGCGGAGGGAACAGGTGGATTGGTAGGGGATTAGGAGGTCGCAGAAGTAGGGTGGGGCAAGGCCATGGAGGGCTTTGTATGTGAAGACCAGGATCTTGAACTGGATCCTCTGAAGGATAGGGAGCCAATGGAGTCGGGCGAGAGTGGGGGAGATGGGGTCACTGAGTTTGATGTGGGAGAAGACACGGGCTGCAGAGTTCTGGATTATCTGCAGCCTGTGGAGGGAGGAGTTGGGAAGCCGACAAGCAGGGGGTTTGCATAGTCGAGCCTGGAGGTGATGAAGGCATGAACAAGAGTTTCAGCGGCCTGAGGGGTGAGGTAGTGGCAGAGACTGGCGATGTTACGGAGGTGAGGGAAGGCAGAGCGGGTCATGGCTTGATTGTGAGGGGGAATAGGTTCCTGATTGACTTGGTCAATGCAAACCTCAGAAGAGAAAACTTGTCCCCTGCAATACTTGGATTGGTATCTATTTCCTCACCATCTCTCTCTGTGAGATGGCAGTCTATGAGATTTTAATTGGTTATATTCTAACAGTAGCCTGGCGCACATTCTGGGGTCTCCAAGCCTCGACTACCCCCTGCCCCTTAATAATAAATAATAATAATAATCCTTGCATTTGATATAGCGCTTTTCACGTCGGGAGGACGTCCCAAAGCGCTTCACAGAACACACTGTAAAGTGAATTGACTGTATATTTGTGGGCGAACGCGGCAGTCAATTGCGCACAGCAATGTCCCACAAACAGTCGTGGATTGAAAATGACCAATTTATTATTGTTTTGTTTCTCATACACACAGCCTCTCTCTGTCTCGATATTGTCTGGAAATAAATAAGCAAGGTGTCTCTCTCCAGGGAGCCAGTGTGCATTTCATTCCAGACACAGGGAAATTTCCATACTTAGTATCATACATTAAGCATGTTGATGGGTTTCTGCATGTGTCGAACATCCATCTGACCAATAAACTATTAAACAGCTATGGCCATTTCTCCATTTAATGAAGTACTTGTTGATTCTGATAAAGACTTTCAGATTTAACTCAGTTTATGACTTAAGAACTGCTGTAGGCAAAAACATACAACAAAAAATAAAGTAATTACAGGTTATCAAAACTTCCTCATATTAAGAAGTTACCTTAATGTGACCCTCATACACGCATTCATAACATCCAGGCCCGACTACGCAAACTCCCTGCTTGTCGGCCTCCTCAACTCCCCCCTCCATAGGCTACAGATCACCCCGCCCATGTCCTCTCCCGCACCAGGCTCCGCGACCCCATCACCCCGCATCCTTGCCCGGCTCCACTGGCTTCCCATCACACAGAGGATACAGTTCAAGATCCTGGTCCTCACATTCAAAGCCCTCCATGGCCTTGCTCCCCCTTACCTCGACGCCCTTCTAATACCCTACCAACCTGCCTCACTAAATCAGTGCTACTTTTGCTCATTGACCTCTGCACTTCATCTTTAGTGTGTCATCATTGTGAGTTTTAGATTGACAGAAAGAACAGGTGGGTGCTATTAAAATGGCTTTCTGTTTCCTGCCCAAAATTTTCTGCATGTTTCACAACTGCATCTCAGATATGACCTCATTACCTTTCCTTCCTGTTTGTACAGCAAATTAATGCAACACCATAGTAATGTTTAGTGAAGCTTTAATTTTCTAATCTTCTCTAATCCTCTGTTTCATCCAATGTAATGTTTTGGACTTTGTATTGTGGTTTGAAAG